CTAACAGAGGCTAATAGAGGTTATCAATTGTTACAAGTCCCCTGGGCTGGGATGGAAGGAGGCCTGCTTTGATGTTAAACCAAGACTGCAAATCTTCATTCTCTGTAGCTAGCTGAGATTAATTAATTTGAATTCCTCAGTGCAAAACTGACACGTCCTTTAAGAAACTTAAACTTTACGGACTGTCTGATATCAATGACGTGCTGATACACATCTTCGTGGGAAAAGTTTTCCCTTAACCCACCCATCTGCCAATAATCTTATGGACCCATTTCAGTCAGGCTTTTATGCAGGGTGCTCCAGAGAGTTCACGACTGGTTCGAGGCCAAGTCAAACCATCCATTGACAGCAGTGATACCCTTAGATCTGTGGGCGCATTTGACGACTTTGTTACTGTTACAGCTGAGTTCCCTCTGTGCTGCGTATACACGCATCAGTGGTTCCACCTGGGACATTCTTGGCTCCATTTCTCAGTCTATCCCATTGTCAGCGGGACCCCCTTATTCTTTGTTTTGTACAATTGTTCCCAGCTCAGTTACCACAACTGTGCTGATGGTTCTCAAATGAATTCTTCGGTCTGCACCCTGGATGCCACGGTGTGGGCGTTTCTTTCCAACAGTCTTAAACTGAACATGGGTCAGACGATGATCACTGCAGTCCACCCTGACCACCTTATCTTTCCCCTTCCTGTTTTGCACTTTTGTTTTAATGGCTGCCAGCTGTGGGTCTCTACAGTCATGGGGATCTTGGGAGTCCAAACTGACGACCTGGCCTTTGAAGCCATTCATCAAAAAAACGTTTAGAACATGCAATTTTCATTTAACGTATGCTCATAGAACCCGATGGCTCCTTGCTGTTGAGGCTGCCGAGCAGTTGGTTCGTGCTGTGGTTGTTGTTTCACCCTTGGATTCTTGTAGCAGCCTCTGGGCTGGATTCTCCAAGGCATCACTTTGCTCCTTGATTCGAATCCACAATTCATCCTATTCTGGACCTTGTTTTGCCCCAGCCTCTTTTTATGCCCATAAATTACACTGATCGGGAATTCAGGAAAGATGCTCAGATAAATAGATGCAGTCAGCACGTTGTTCTTGAGTGGGGAAAGTGGTCTGGAGAGGCACTTGGGTGCAACATCAGGCTAAAGCAAACACCGAAGCCTTGTTTGTGGCTCAGTGTCATGTGAACAGAGATGCCCTTTGGGTTTTGGGGAGAGGTCGTACTGCCTTCTTTACGGATGATCTTTGAGGAATCTGGAGAACCGGAGGAGGAGACGTGTGTAGCGTTGGCGTAAATCGGATTTCAGGATCTCTTTCTTTTATCTTCTGGGCCTAGTTTCACTTACTTTCCACTTCTTACTCTTCTTCTGCGCTTTGGATAATGTTGTTTACCCCCGATGGAAGGGTGTAATGGGTCTCTGACAAAGTCCCCGTCACACTGAAAAGCAAGCTGGGTCAATGCGGGCTAGGATGCCCTGCTTGGTAGCAGTCTGGCAACAGCTTAAGTGCAGATTGGGTAGCATGGCATACAGTGGTACAGAATTGGCCCGAAAATTGGCCGTGGAGAGTGTGCTTGGGTGCTCAGTGCTGCAAGGACTGGGGAGGTGACCCTTCCAGGTCTGGGTCAATTACTTTGATGAAGAGGCAGAGGGAATATTGGGTTTCCTGCCCAAACTGCATCCAATTATTGTTGCCACAATACAAAAAAGAGGCTGAAGAACTGGAAAGGGTGCAGAGAAGAGAGATGAAGATGGCGAGGGGCCTGGAGGCTAAATCCCCTGAAGGGCAGTTAAAGGAACTTGGTCATGTTCAGCCTAGAGAGCCGCAGGGAGACATGGCAGCAGCCTTTCAAGACTTGAGGGGCTGTCACAGGGAAGAGGTGTGGAGGAAAAGTCAAGAGCCAACAGGTGCCAGGTGGTTTCACAGAAGGAGGTCTAGGAGATGAGGAGGACTTTCCTGACGGGAGGGCTCTTCAGCGGTGCAGCAGCCTGCCTCCTGGAAAGGTGGGAGCTCCATTGCTGGAGGTCTTCAAGCAAGGGTTGGCAGCCGCCTGTCTGGAGTGCTCTGAAGACTCCCGCCCTGGGCAGGGGGCTGGACGAGACGGTCCCTCCCAACCGGAGGACTCCAGGCTTCGGTTCACAGATCCGGCCTCTGCTTCCCAATGAAACGAGCCACCTTGTAGCGGGGTAACTAGGCACACCGAGGGCCGCCGCTGCCCTTTCGCTCCGGATGAGAAACGCGAAAGCTCCAGGCGGGCAGGTGAGTCGCGCAGGGCCGGCCGGCCGGCCGG